AAGTTCATCTATAAAATCAAGTTTAGACATTGAACGGACAAGGACTAAGTTGGAGTTTGACTCAACTTACTATGGTATATCACTTATTGATATAATGAGATGAGAAGATTTAAATACATAAGGGCTTCGTGAAATGCAGATTATTAATCGTAAATGTGAAAAAAAAACAATTGGTCAAATGTTTGCTGTCTTCATTGCATTTCTGTTTTTTATTTGACAAAAAAATTGATATTTAGATTGTTGCGAATGGTTTGCTTGGGTGTCTATTTGGCCACCTGTTAGCACCTCACTACTTTGCTGAACAGGACAGCTTTGGTGGCGGTTTGTTTATTTAAACGGGTTGATAAACTAATAACACGAAACATGCAAGCACGCGAGCGTTGTCTTGCGGCGGAGACGCGCACGAACAGGGCGGGGTGTCATCGAGGGCCACCTACTCTTGTTTTATTACCTTTGGCGATTAGAGCTAGTTAGATAGTCCCCAAGGCCCTATTTCGGACCAACGATTGCTACCTTCGGTGCAGACGTATGACCTCCGCTTAAAACGCCACAACGACGGTTTTGCTCCCCAGATAGAAACCATCATTGCAAAACCAAGGCAGCACACAAAGCAAGTTGTCTCGGTTTGTGTCCAAAAATGCTTCCGAGTCCAAGTGAATGGGAAGTACTGTGGACACTTCCTTGCTAATAACAGTGTTTTCAAGTGAGTAGATCAAATTTTTAAGCCGCCTTATCAGTACAGCCACCAATACCTTCACTTCTTATGTTTTAAGAGGTTAATCTTCACTCTTTAAGGGCCACTTCGCTTCACCCATGTGTGCTGATGTTCAAATGTTCGTAGTCAACTCAACGTGTTGATTTAATTTGGTGAAGTCATAGTCAACTTCAGATTTCATTGAAAAAACAATATTGCCATGCTTTTTTCATAAGTTTAAGAAAAGCCATGGCTGTGTTAGGCTAGAATACCTAAAATCCCTACTACTTCCAACTCTTGTAGTACTTAATCAGATGCTTCAACTTAAAGGTTTATTCGGCGATGAATCATGTTTTATCTTGTTTGTGAAATTGGCGGCGCACACATGATTCAATCAGAGGGGAATAAAAACACACTGGCATTGATATCTCTTGATTTCATCATGGATAGGTTAAAGGGTCACCGCACTCTCGGGAGGAAATGACTCACGTGTCCAATTAGTCCTAATAATGCTCCCCTTCTGTGCCAGATAAGACCAGCATGCGAATGCGCGACCCAGTTTATCGAGGCCGAACGATTATTCTTGTGCTCCTGTAAAACCGTCTAGATGCCCTTAGACTCGATCAGTGAAATTTTTTTCTGACATCAACCCAGATCGCTCACATCACACCACTTTATGGAGTAACTGAACAGACACCAGTCTAGCAACTGAGTTGTTTATATTCCGGCTTTGTCCTGCATAGTGCACACTAATAAGGCGTCAGAAAGATCATGTTAATTATCAACATCTGTCCAGATGTTTACCGTTAGCTTTCACCATCAAAAATAAACCCAAATGCCTTGTGCAGATGTCCAACTTAGTTTGACTACTGTTTGGTTTCTTCTAACAGACTTGTTTAAAATAACGGTGTTTATGTTAGGATTCAAGTGGATTGATGAGTCTGACACAAACTAGCAAACTGTAACTGACGAAGTTAAAACTTTAGAACCTACTTTAGTTTAAATATCGTGGTTTATCACTTCTGTTCGCTTTCAAATAATTGCAATAGAAACTCCGAGAAACTGTTATTCAAATTCTAACTTTAATATCATTCCTTAATAAAATTACGGCACTGGGTCTTGCACATTTCCTTTATTTCCCGTGGCCATCGAAACGTCTTCCGGTCGACGAGTACGTGATCATGATCAGCCTCCGACCAATGGTTCCAAATGTTGCATATGGCCTTTTAGGTTTCATTTCCTAAAACATGCAGTGACTAAGTTAAATTAAATTGTGGTTTCTGGAGCAACATCACTTGAAGAACTTTAGTTTAATAGGTTTGAGTTGACCTCGGTTCGACCTTCTCCAGGAGGTTGTATCAAAGGCTGAGGTTGATGCTGGGGTCACGGGGTTGACAACCCGTGAACTGCCCGTAAAACAAATTTGCGTGTGGCTGGTTCTCGTCACCCAAAAAATTCTGCTGACACTGTGTTGCTATCGTGGTGTGTATGCCCTTCTGGCAATAAAGTTTTCGGCATTTCATAAACATTCCAACGGCTCTTCAATTGGCCTCTTTTCTCAAATCATCTGGATAGGTTCACCGTGCTTAAATAAGCTATCAAGCATTGTTGTGCACCGGATTAGACACGGCAGATATGCTTAAACAAATGTTTGGAAGTTAGTTATAGAAATAGAAATTCTTGACAAGCCGGCAGCAGAGGATCGTCGATTTAATGAGTTGGAATCTGCCTGTTAATGGCTGGTATGAAAGGAAACTCAGAACACTTCTGTGAAGATATATTGAGTACTCTAAGAACTTTTAGATCTTTTTACTTTACGATAACGTCCCAGTTCATTCATCAGAAAGCCGCACTGTCTACATCTCAAGGAGTCAGCTTAGTATTTTATATTTTGTGATAACTAATTACTATTTAACAGTAATTTATGCCAGTTTTTTTACTTACTTTGTGCGTATGCTTGCAAGCAGATTTCGTCCGATCCGTAGCCATGCGTGTAGACTGTCTCAATTAGCGATTCTAGAAAACCAAATTAAAGGAATGCTATTCAGGCTTTTGTGTAAGCAATCTTCATGATATCACTTATCGCGTAAAGTTATGAACCCACGTTGCTATCTTATAATGATACTACCTTTGGAAAACTTCAAAACCAATGCTCACTATAAATGGTGACGACTTCGTAAGACCAAAATTTGTGTCTTAAATCAGATTGGAGGAATGGAGCTTAAGTGACCTTTTGTATATTTTAGAAGGTAATACGTGTATGTTGTCTGGGATCAATCGACAGTTATGTCTTGCCTTTACCACAGTCCAGTGCAAAAATTGTTCTTTTACGTCGAGATGGGAAATGACTGGTAATGTTGCGATTTGGTTTTGCGACAAAGAGCTACAACCATCAAACCTCATCAATGCCGTTTCCTGTAGACGCGACCATGGGGCTTTTCAACTTGTAAAAAATTGCCCTCCTGTACATTGAAAAACAATAACAGTTTGTTTTAAACAAATGCACTGTGATATGCTCTTAGCGGAAGAATGATTCGTGCTGAAATTCTACCATCCGCTTTGGAACAGGCGTTTAGACGAGGGAAGCATCAGTAAATATAAGCTGGAGGTTTGTACAAAACTAAATTTTTTGACGATTCCCTATAAATAAGGCCTTTTTGCTTACATTTTTGCTGCTCATCATTCTTCTTATCCATCCCAAACTAGAGAGCGCTAAAACAATTCCTTCATCTGAATAGCTATGAACACATTCTTCGTTTGCATCGCTTCTGTAAAAGCTTCTAATATCATCGACCAGTAACGATTTTGGTCCATCGATCCGCAAAACTCTCTGATTCACTAAAACTGATCATATGCATGCCATTTCGAGAGGTGATTTTATTCCCACTAAGGGGTCTTTGGTAGATTTCACAATCATACCCATAAGTAACGAACCAAATTGTTCGGGCAGGTCATCATAGCAAAGTTTTATCAAAGTGGAGCACAACGAATTTTTTTTTAAGAGTATCGAGGATTTGTTACGGCCGCATCCACCAATGCGCATAATATTTGTGCTGAGGCCAGTGCCACTATATCAGCAGCTTGATAATTTATCTTTGAGAAAGGGCGAGTTGTTATTTAAAGAATCAACTTGCTTGATTTTGGAAAATCGAAGTATACACTAATTGATTTAGTCGGCATTCACACCAGTCGAATGAATATGTGTTCATGAGCCGTAGGTTTAATGTCCAAATAAAGGGTACCACAATCTGTACAATAAGTTTTCCAGACATATTCGGATATTCAATGCCTGACAGACAGGGAAGTGAACTGCGTTATGAACAGGTTTTGTTCTCAATTTTCAAAACTTAACAACTGGTAAAATGAAGTTTATTCAAATAAGAAATTACCTCTTTATAGAGAAGTCCAAAAATGTCTCTTACTAGTTATTTAAAGGTAACAAGAGCTAGGGAGTTTGGTTAAAATCCACCGTAACTTGACCCCTCTCCATTTCTTTCATCGGAACAACACTGGTGTGTCAGATGTTAATTAATGGGGACTCAAAGCAATTTTTTGAAATTCTAAAATGCTATCACTTCATGCTCTACTGAAATGAGGCAAATACTCAATTCGTTCTACCTCTTCTCACCAATTTCTTGCCAGGTTAATAACTTACCTCATAGTTTCAGCACCGTTGGTCGCTTTTTTGCAACATAAAAAACTGTTTTTAAGATTAAGTTATTGTGGTTTCTAGTGTGTCTGCTAGAAATTCCAAAGATCCCTCTTAATGGTTGACTGGCTGTTGTACGTGGAGTGGTGGAAAAGGTCTGGCTGTTGGTGCCACAGTTAACAGATTTTTTGTCCACTTCTTCGATTTGTCGACAGTACAGGTTTCGGTTAAGCTCTGTTTTTCTTATTGTAGTACTAATCACCCATTTTGTGCACGATAGTGTTGATTCAAATCATAAAGTTACCTAACTTAGACTATTAAATTGCAATATAGTGGCGATTAGTAGATTTTTTTGGACCCTCAGAAAAACAGTTTATAAATTGTAATAATCTGTTTGTGTATGCCTAGAATTAAGGTAAAACAAATTGTTTAATATGTATAATGAGGTAACTGTTTGTTGCGATAAATTGTGTAACTGAGCTATTTGAATTCAGGGTTAATATTAAGAGTTTATGATAGTCTTAGTCTGAGTGTTACTTATTTCCATTTGCATTATCAGATGTTTGGCAATGCTGTATTGTGCATATCCTTTTTGCAGTCCCCAAAAAGCGCTGAATAACGCTCCTGCATCATTTTAGAACGACTTGTTGGTGCAAAATGGTGAATTTCGTTCTGTCATCGGCGTTGATTCTTGCCGTCTGCCAAGTTGTTCAAGGCGCCTCAAACTGCATTGAATTACTAAGCGAAAACAGCTTCGCGCTTTTTTGTCCCTCCTACTCTGGGTCCCTTCCCCCGGAAATTCCGTCTGGCAAGCAGTACTCTAAGCTGCAGATAGAATCAGCCAACTTCCCGTATGGGGGCTCAGTTCTGTCAAAAGAAAACTTTACCGGGCTCGAAGGTCTCACGTACCTACGCATCACATCTTCCGGCATCGACAGAATCACCCCCGATGCATTTTTCAATTTGAAACATCTTAACCACCTTGACTTATCGAGAAATCGTCTAACCTTCATCGAACCTGGCACATTTCGAGGGTTGAAGCTAAAGAAACTAATCCTCTCCGGCAATCTTGGCCTACAACTTCCGAGTGCCGCACTCTCCGGAGCAAAAATATTTAACTTTGTAGCCAAAGACTGCGCTATTCATTCCATTTCCTATTCATTGTTCAAACAAACTGGTACGCGCCACATTAGTCTCGTGAACAACAGAATCCGCACCCTATCTGATGAGTTCTCCTCGTTGATCTTGCCGTCAGACGGTAGTTGGGGCTCAATTGACCTGTCTAACAACAGTCTAGTCTGCGATTGTGCCCTGCTGTGGCTAGCCCAACTAATCGACAGGCAACGAAGGTACATGGACGAAACCTCGGAACCCTCTGGTTCAGGTCCCTTCAGGTATCCACGACAAGTTGACGAACCGGAATTATTTAAGCCGATGTATCAGTTAAATCTCACTTGTTCAGCACCTAAACACCTTGTGCATCACCGTTTCCCTCTTCCGAGTGAGTTTGATTGCCCTCCACCTCAAATAACTGGAATTGATATTGTGATATTGGGAAAAAATATGGAGACGGTGCAGCTGACATGTCACGCTCGGGGGCGCCCGACACCTAACGTGGCCTGGGCTTTTAAACAACACGACCAGGAAGTCCATCGGATAGTCAAGTCCCCCAAAAAATTGACTCCCTGGAATCGTGATCAGCTGTCAGGTGTATATATTGGGCTAAATGTTAGTCTGCGGGAATTTCAGGCCAGGGATTTCTCGTGTATCACCTGGAGTGACTCAGGACTGAGCCGACCAACGCAGGTTCCCAACTCTCAGGATAACTGGCTTAGTGTAAGTACAGGTTCCGCGTCCTCCATTGTTCCACGAGGTCCCCTTTCCCCAGATAAAGCACATCGAGTTGGGATTCGTTTGAGTGGCTTAAAACTGGAGGACCAAGATAAGTTTCATGGACTGCTTACGGAACCATCAGCAAACGACTCGGTAGCTGCTGTGAACGGCGAACCACCAAAAATGAATGTAACCTTGTTTAGCCCTTATCAGCAGTTATTTGTTCGGCGGTTCACCCCATTGGATCTGATAGGAGCTATCATTGGAACTTTTGCAGCCACTCTCATTCTTCTTTGTCTGGTAACAAGATGCATTCCTCAATGCTACCACCGAAAATCTCGTTCTACAAAACACGCTTTGCTGCACTATGAGAGAAAGCAAGTGATGGTACCCTTTTCAAAGGACGAAAAGAATGACACCGAAACTGTGGAGCAGAACCAACTGAGGTCTTCGCAGCAACAGTCAGCCTATTTTGCTGACGCGGCGACAACGGTGGGTTCGGGGTCGGGTCCTGGATATTGGCCGATTCAAGACTACGCATACTCGAGTCACGAATACGACGTACCAGGCATGACAGACCCCTTGGCAGGAGCTATGCCCCTGTCTCCGCGGCCCATGCTCGGGGTCCCCAACGCCACAGGAACTTTGGTTCGCAGAGGACGGCCCATGTCAACGTCCAGTTTACACCCGAGTGCTGTTCAGACGCCCTACCTTTTCCCCAAAGCTGCCACATCCACGGCACTCCTCCTACCTCCAGTTGCAACAGTACCTCCACTGGGAGTGGTTGCTTCTCCCTTCCTTTCATATGTTACTGTGCCCCAGCCCCCCCTACCAACTCAGCAGCCTCCTGTTTACTTCAGTCATAATCATCACTTGTCTTTGAGTACACTTCCGAATGGGCAATTGTTCATGACCCCTACCATGACCCGGAATGCAAATGACATGACCTCGAAGCAGTCAGGAGAACCCGAGGGGGTTGCGGGAAGCAGTACAGCCAGCTGTAACTCGGACAGGAGTGCCGGAGAACGACTTCTGGGCGCTCCCGGGCCTCCACAGTAATCATCCAAAAGGATAAAAACGATAACTGTAAATTTGTATAGGCACTACCAGCCATCCTTGTCAATGTGTGACGTCCAGTGGCATTTATTTCTCTTCTCCTTCCTTTTTTTATGCTCGCTTCTGTTGAAAAGAGTGTTTTTTCCTGGCTGTGTAGCGAAATACTAATAGCAACACAACGATCAGAGACAAACATATCAGGGCAGTCAATGAACTACGATAACGTTCACTTCCACACATTGTCTCTGCACACACCGATGCCGCTGCACAACATGGATATAAGAGCACACATACCCCAGTAATTTTATCTCTCCTTTTAGGTAATTATAAGAAATAACTAATTAATAATGGGACTACTTTTCTTGTTCAAAATGACCAAGTTGGTGCAACTTTTCGGGGGGCCTCACGCACCATGCACAACTTATTGCCTATCGACTTGGGCGTTTTTAGATGCTAATTAGGCCTAACCCGTGTAGGTTAAATATAGGTAACTCTGTAGGGACTTTTACCTATCGATTCCCACTCAAGTGACCTGAGGTCGCGTTTTTGAATTTATAGTGGATTTATCAGTTATCTTTATCTAGTTTTTCAAACAAAGATGCACAGACATTTGCCGCATTCGCATGCGGGACTGTGTACATGTTGAGATCATGCGACTAGACTAACAACCTCGTTTTTGCCACCATGGTTGTGTGCTTCAGGTCGAAGCGCTAAATTTGGGCTGCCTCCTTTTCTACATGCTTGCAAAACTGAAAGTGAAAGGAAAAAGAAATACAGATTCTGATAATTTAACTCGATGCATGGAACCAGGTGTCAAATCACACCTACTTTACCGACCACCCCCAGTCCAAAATTTATGAGTGGACGGCGTCCACACAAACCGGACACATCATCGAAACTACTGCAGGAATGATCCAGTAAACCGTGGGGTGAGCGAATGAATGGAGAATTCAACCCGAAACATATCCCAAAAAACGTTTTGAAAACAGATTTCCGAATTCTGATTAATACACATTTGTGAACAAAAGTCGGTTTGTTTTTCGATCACGTGAAATGTAATACATCCAGTTCTTTTGCCATCTTGACAGAAACTCAAAATCAGTCCAAATACTGACCCATAATCTTACCCTCTGTGCTTTTTTAAAAGAATATGGCCTCTAGTATCTTGTATCTTAATTCAACGTTACCTATAACATAGCTGTACAATTTCTTTGTTTATGGAGACCATCAAACTAAGTCTCTAGAAAGGTTAAATACAGATGCGTACTTACAGAAATTGTGCCGGTGACAGGCCAGAAGCTCTCAGAACAAATTTAAAGTGATTCACGCGCAAATTACCCATCGTGCAAGTGGCCCAAACACCTCACTGAAATGCCGTAACTAGGACGTTAACTTTCGCTTCTTCCTGCCGGGGCTACCCTTTTTGCACTCTGAGTAGTCGATTTCAATTTACCTATACAGTGATGCCATCAGAATCTGTATTGGCTAATCAGAGTCTGGGTGTACTTGTATTTGCTCCTTGTTCGCTCGAGATTTACTGAAAACTTTTCTTAGAAGCAATCGTTGCGGAAACGCATGACTTTAGATAGTACACCAACACATGGAATAATCAGAATGCATCGTTGAATGCTGCAAAAATGTTAGGGTTTAAGAAATTTTTTATAACCACGAGTTGTGGGAGTTTCAGTTTGCAAGATTGCTCTATTCCAGTCCCAGCTTCTTTGCCTGAGGAGACGTCTTAGATCTCCGTACCACCGAAAACTTTTATGATCTGTCTGTACCGCCTAAAGTTAAGAGAAGGATATTTGGTCTTAGCTGGAGTATTGTGAGTTTGATAAGGAGGATTTCGTCATTGTCTACACAACTCCCCTAACCAAGCCACTTAGGTGAGATAGTCACCCACGGAACCCCACTGACAGGTTCCCTTGTGTTAATCTGCCTTGATCCATCATGTTAAGGTCATCCTCGAATTATGTAACTGGGCCTGCACTGACATCACTCAGCATTTAGCTGTGACATTAAAAGCTCTATATAAAAGGTCCGGTATTTGTTCTATACCGGAAAAGTGTAGTCTAGAGACAGAGATCTGGGGTACCGGTAATCTGAGCGTGTAGATAGAATAAATCGAAAAACGTGAAACAGAGCAATGGGTCCTCAAAGTCTCAAAGAACATTACTTGTAAGCTTGGAATATGCGATTCTTTAAAAATATGGATCACCCAAAAGGGTTCGGCAAAGTAATATTTTGGAGAAAATGTTGAACAGAAACATGGTGAATCAAAAATCACTTTTGCCTCGTGTTTATAAAATAATAAGGGAAGGACGTGAGATACCTGGGTCGCGGAGACCACAAAATTAAGAATTATTATTGTGTTAGCACTGCTAAGAGTAATGTTAAGGAAATTAATAATGATGCAAAAATCACTAATTTCCTAAAATGTATTAAATAAACTTTTATTTCCACCCGTTCACTCAGATTTGACCTACAAAAGAGCCTTGGTTCAGTATTTAGGGATCAGGGTTGCTTAACCAGTTATGACTTGGGATCTAACCCTCTTTTGTATATCTTATTCTCTATAATGATTGTTTAATAATTGCGTCGATTAGCTTACAGTTATAAATGACTTTAATCTAACAAAGTTTAATACAGGACAAAAGTTCAACAAAGTTAATCGTCGGCCAATATCATGGTTGTCCCTATCATTCCCAAATGAAAATAATTGGATCACGTTTGTCAAAGTTAAAACACCGTCATGCTGTACTAGAGGCTCAAACTATTTACAGTAAGTTACCAATGATGTAGGAAGAATTAGCCTGGTTCCATGAATCCAATTTAAGGGAATCACAATGCTAAAAAAAGATAAATTTAATACCATATCTTTTTTTCAAAATTTCGCAGAATCCTTATTTATTTAATGAAATATAAATCTAGTCAATCAATTCGCACCAAAAATGAAATCAATAGGGCTTTTGTAAAAGTATCCATGAGGATTTGGGAATTCGTGTGACTCGCCAGAATATTTCTCAGCGATACAATACTCAAGTTATCCTTAAAAAATACCTAGAATTCACAACTAGAGAGTATAGTTATATTGATAAAAGAAACGTTTCGTGTTGCCGAGGTTTCAATTATTTCACGAAAAAGAGCTGCTATATAAGGGAGCTGAATTGTACTAGGAAATTCAAAATTTTCATAGTCCTTGTTAATTTGAAAGCTTCATTCTTAATACGACAAATGAATATGAGCTTTAAAATAGACTGGTTTCAGTATTTACGTAACTATCAGTGTTGGCATATAAAAGACGTATATCACTAATGTTTAAGAAACGAGCAAGTGGAAAGAGGACAACTTTCTATTTTTGTGGATTGAATACCAGATATTTAGGAGGCAATCTTTAGCAAAGATGCTTTCAGTTTTCAATCAAGTACCTCTTACATGTTCTCTGGAACATATAAAGATACTACAAGTCAGCGTCCGCACAAATAGGCATAAGAGATGTCAGACTAATGCATAAAGTAATTAGAGCCTGCAACCACCTCTCACCTTGTTTCTGCCTTCCTCCAGCCAAAACTACGACCCCAGACACCCTTAAATAAGATGACAATAAGTAGGTAAGTTGAAAGAAAATGACAACAATGGTATTTGTAAAGCTTGTACATCTGTTAGGTTGTAAAACGCCAAAGAATAAGCCTGTCGTCAGCTTCGTTTCTTAATCTAAAGACGCGCTGTTAAGTACCAGAACAATCTCGAGACTTTTCTGCTGGCTCCCTGCACCAAAAGCGGATCATGAACACCTCTTTATTAACACTTTCCGGGGTAGTAAGTGCTCGAACGAATAAGCAAGACTCACAATCTAACTGTTTCTTTTCCTACAATGTTCCATGCTTGCAATATTAGTGTTTTAATATAAAGGTAGAAAAGAACAGATAATACAAACACTTATTTTTTTCCTTAGGATGAATGAGGACTTTGATGACAGCCGAATTACAGGGATTGAATGTGTTTAAAGGAACGAATAATCTTTTTTAGGCACAACAAGGGTTAAGAAAGGGAACAACCTTAATATACCACTTTATTCGTCGTTTTCAGAGTTAGTTTTGCATTCAGGAAAATTGGTTCGAATACCCTACCAACCGGGATTTCGAACTTCTAGAGAAAAATACCGCAAGATGACCTCACCAAAGTATAGCAACTAGGAGCATCCCCGGTGACTCATCATGATGTAGGTTTGGTTGGTATTAATAACACTTGCCACACCTAAGTTGCTTCAAGTGATAAAAGGCGGCAGTTGGTTATGCCGTGGCTGGTTGCAAACACCACGTTCAAACGTGCCGATGGTTAAGCCATTTACGCAGCTGCAAATTTATGGGCCCCTTAGCGGTCTTACTGTGCGGCACACTACAACAAGGCTGAATTCCCCCTTGTTTACCAAAAAATGACTCACATACACTGTGACTACATAATGGTGTATTTCAACTTAAGTTTTACTTAATAGATGAACGTGGCACATTAGCAAGCAGGTCGATTTCGCATTTGTGGCTTCAGAAAAAGGAATAAATATCAAGAAATGCTTCAACAGTTTCGAAAAAATTACCCTAAGCTTAGTGCTTATTCAGAAACTGTTCTTGTTAAAAGATCATTTCCGCAACAAAGTGAGAAGAGCTCAAAAATAAGATCAATTGAGCAAAATTCCCATTTTCATCCGATTTCTAATGAAGACTCTCCATTTTAGTATAAAACTTCCACGTGGTCAATTTCGACCGTTTTTCCATACGTTTCATAAGCCAACCACATGGCCATCCCACTCAGTGGATTTAAAGACTTTTTAAAATCAAGAGTAAGTATATGATTTGCATATCAACAATAATGATATTTCGATATCACAATTAAATACAAAAATGAATCAAAATGAGTCAAATATAAACGGTTTTGCATCTGAAGAAATTATTTTAATTGCAGTACGTATTTTACAAGCACGAATTTATATTCCGATATCACCTTCCTGGGGTCCTTTTTGCTAATCAACATACCGTAATATTCGGCTGAATAGACTGGAAGCTAAAGTCTTGATAAATAAAATGTGTCGTTGGATTTAAGTTGCTTAAGGCTGCATTTATAGTTCAACTGATGAAAGGTAAACAGGCTTATCCTGTTTTTGATCAAAATGCAACGTAAATTCTATGGCGTTTATAAAGACAGGCATAGTATCAAAGACGGATATTCTACTTCCGCGGATAAAAGGAAGCACTTCCGTGATGTTTTCACAAATCTTTTCTTTCGAGAATCGAGTTATTGAATAAACACCTGATCACAAACACCAAGATTCGTTTAATAATACATCTATTGCCTGACTTAAGTACAGTCTTAGAGCAATTAAGTTACTTAAGGTATAATCTAAGGGCATGCGATGAAAAACAATAAATCGTATTTTTGTGGGATCAGTGATGGCTTTTGTATAGTCTGACATTGGTCGATATACTTAGTGCGAAATGGAAAGACTGATATTGTAATCAAAATCTACTTTTGGGTAATAGAATTGGCAGTTATAATGCTTCTATGTTCTACCTATTTTATCCAAATTAATAATAATTTAATGAGAATTTCTACGTTGTGGATATATCTACAAGAGCAGAAAAACAAAATTGCCAACTTAACTGAGAACAAGGTTCACATTTCTGTTTGCTATGCTAGAAAGTTTAATTCGAAATGAACTGCCAAATACTGCCTTATTAATATGAATAAAAAAATGTAAACCACTAACCTCCAAGGAATGATTGTGAAAACTATCCCTCTTTATTGGGAATTAGGGAGTGACTGCCTGTTATAGATATATAACCACAACAAATGCAACCATTGATGCTTAGCATCATTTTTAGCCAAATAACACTAATTGTAAGTTCAATTTATTTATACTGTTCATTTTAATAAAAAAGGAATGACATGAAAACATGTGGTACATAAGTCTGATGGAATTTTAAACATGTTTTTACTACATAAACGTTTACTTGTATTTTTGGCGAAAAAATTATAGTGACAAATACATTAAGGAAAAATATTTTAAACAAAGTGGAAAAGTTCTTTAATGCAGTCGACCTATGAAAAAAATAACGAGTATACTCTTATCGGTCCTAAAAATGTACCTTTATCCAGTTGAAGCAATAAATCCCTGGAAAGGCGGAATTTTACGGATGGCATCAAAAGAAATAATGGTACGTTATTCGTTTTTGAAGAATTTAAGGTTCAAATCCATGCATCAGTAAGTCTGACTTTTGACTTTACGATTTCTACAAAACCCGATTCGCGGATATCAACAAATTTTTTGATAAAAACTTGTACATTTAAATTAGAAAAGGTAATATAAACAAAGTTAATATTACTGCCGGATTTCTATATCTGACAAATAAAAACACATAGCGTTTTGACCGTATCAATCTAACGTCAATCGCAGAAGCACAATCGCCGTCAACTGCATTTTACCTCACAACTTAATTGTAGTTTTCCATCCTTAGTTCCATCCATCCTTAGCTTTATTACACATGTGTCAATTATGATATGGATGACAAGGTAGGTTTTCCTACTAAAGAGAGATATTTGGGCCTAGTGATTCAGATTAAGTAGAAGAATTCTCACATCAGCCATGATATTTATGTGGGTGAAATTTTCAATTTATAGAATGAATGTGAGCAAAAGTAATTTTTTCAGAAAATTAGACTCAAAAAAACAATTTGCTATTTGAAAAAAAAATCACTACGCAGTAAAATAAAAAAACTATAAAATTTACGACAAAATTCCAAAAAATTCTTCTGAAATCTCGATGTTTTGTTTAGTTGCACTGGCCCCAGCGGGTCCCTTATACTTGTGTTTTTAAATTTGTTGATTTGAGAGTTCAGCGATGCCTCTAGTTGATCGAGCACAATACGAAGTCTTACGTGATGACGACGTCCCTTACAATAATGCAGACACTGCATACCCTTCAACGGCCGCTCTTCAACTTGATTCTACGCACAATCTAGATTTATTCTTCTCACAAATTTACGAATATCATCAGCTGGGCGGTTATACCGTAAGTGCGTTTGCGTATGTTCGTCTAGCGCTTTTATTGACTTATGTATAGAACTAAAAAAATAGAATGCTGTGAAACTCATGTAATTGATCCTTGATACTCATTTGCGTTATCAATTCTTACTAACATAGCTTTGTTAATTGCTGCAATTGAAATCCTTATTTCTCATTCTAACCAGCACCCTTTAATCATTTTAAAAGTCTGGATCATGAATAGGAGGCTTCCTACTTATGGTCATTCATGCTGTCGTACGGACTACTAGATGTTTATAAACTTACAGGACCTGAAAACGATAAAAGCTTGAACACATGGCATAACAAATAAATAGAAGTTACTTATTATGGTTGTTACCAAGTAAATTGTTTTCAAAAACTAACCACCGTAATTCGTTTGAAAAACTTAACCAGATATTTTTTTATTTAGCACGTGGAAATCAATCTTGAACTACTAATTTTACGATTAGGCGGATACGGTATATTTATCTAATTTTGCGATTCGCTTGCAGCTTTGTTAATTGGAGTTAGGTTTTTAAATTTTTTAATTTTAAGCTACACATGTTTGAGTTGAATCATATTTCTTCACAAAGCCAACAGATATTACTGCTGTTTAGTTTGGTTTTATTCGTCCTAAATGTTTTGCGTGAAAGTTGTGGTGATATTAGAATTATTCCTAACATTTGTTTCAAATTTAAAAAATCACTTCTTTTGTTAACTCACGACTAAAATTGCACCTTCTTAGAATCTTTCTTCGGGAACTTGTTATAACTCTAAAAATAAAGGTGAATTGGATATTTTTGACGGTAGTATGATTTCAATCTCGTGACGTATCGTACTCAAACAAT